TGCCATAAAAGTACAATGTGGCATGTGAAAAAGGAAAAAATAAGTAGTCCACTATTTGTCCCTTGTTTCTGACTGCTACTTTTTTATTTTGTTCCTCATGGTTTTTTCCATGGCCCAATGTCAGTTTATTGACTGAAGAGCGGTTCCATGCACTCAATGTGGAGCGGACTACGGTCCAGCCACCGCCTTGTGTACACTTGATTCCCCAAATACAGCGTGCTTGTGTTTGTCTGTGAAGGAGTGTGAGCCGGTTCCGTTGATGAAACGTGGCTCTCATCCGCATGCCTCCCGGTCTTATTCCTTCGGGTTTACACTGGATATGGGGTGTGTGGATGGATCTGTGGGTGGTGCAGCGCAAGCCATCCATGTTCCCTCTGTAGGCGCAGGCGTCCTGTGGCTGACCACAGTGACAGGCAAATCCGAAACCGGATGCCGCTAACCATATACCAAGTACCAAAAGCAGATCATTTTGAGTCGTGCATGACGACCGAAACCCGATGCCACAGAAGCTCAGTGTCATTAGGATAAAACAGCGAAGGTTCGGTGCGCAGTGTGTCTTCGTACGCTTGGCTGACAGAGGGCTAGGATAATTTCTGGGTTGCTATTCGAGGGAGCCACTGGGTGCACCTCTATATATAATGGTTTCAGACACTGGGCGCCGAAATGCCACTTGGCGTGCTCCTCTACCTGGCCGGCGATGGATTCAAATAGATTACTTTGCCATTACAGGTAGCGTGGTTCCATCCTGGATTGTCGATCTTTCTGTGCCACTTGTGTCGTCTCTGATCATGCCTTGGTACGCCGTCGCTTTTCCATGAATTTCACCGTGAGGTGCACCGAATGCCTCCCTCGATTGGCATCAGAAATTATCCCAACCCTCTGTCAGCCAAGCGTACGAAGGCACACTGCGTACCGAACCTTCGCTGTTTTATCCTAATGACACTGAGCTTCTGTGGCATCGGGTTTCGGTCGTCATGCACGACTCAAAATGATCTGCTTTTGATACTCGCAATCGCTACCGCATCAGTCACTGGATATCCGAGAGGTCGGTGAACCCGTTGGAATCCAGAAGAAACCCTGCTGTCTCTGAGCACAAGGTTACCAGACGAACTATTAGGCGCGAATTAAAGCGGAGCATGGGCGCTGCTAAAGAAGCCTGGTGGACCAGTCGGGCTCAGGAAACGGAAGAGGCGGGAGCAGTAGGGAGCTATCGTAAGCTCTTACAGCTGATCCACACCACTGATCCCCGGAAACCAGTCGTCTGTGAGACAATCAGGACAATGCGAGTGTTCTGATTCACAATATGGAACGCCGTATGGCTCGTTGGGCGGAGCATTTTCAAGATCAATTCAGTTTTTCCCATTCTTTTGGACCTGTTCCTACTCAGGTGATGCAGGACGAGCCCTGGCCAGTTAGTTAGAGGTTCCATCGGAGGCTGAGGTCCGAAATTCCATCACAGCCCTCAAGTCTTTTCGTGATGCTGGTGCGGATTCGCTCCCATCTTCAATGTTTAAGGGTGTTGGCGGGTTCCTGTGCAAAGCGCTGAACTCCCTGTTCGAATATGTATGGTAGGATGAGACCGTCCCGGCTGACTGGAGTGGATCGATTATAGTGGTTATACACAGGAAGAGCAGTCGCACTGGCTGCTAACCACAGGATTATTAGCCTAACGCTATGTGTGGGAAAAGTACGGACCTAAATTCTCTTTTGTCGCCTCACTGCGGAACGGGAATCCCCGATTCTGGAAGTACAGGCAAGTTTCTGTCTTGGATGTGTCTATAGAGGCCACATATTCACTCTGCGGCAGGTGCTAGAGCAGCGCCGCGCATATTGCAAACTAACAATAGTTGTGTTACTCGACGTCAATGGTACGTTCGACTCTGTCGATCGATGCATTCTGTTTAAAATACTTGCGTAGTAGGGTGTTCCCATTAAATATGTGAACCTTTTACATGTTCTGTACTCGAACACGACAGGCAGCGACAATGTCTATGGTAGCTTGTCTGATATCTTACCGACAACAAGTGGCGTTCCTCAGGGTTGTCCGCTTTCCCCGCTTTTGTTAATTTCGTCGTGGACTTCATCATGGAGTATTCTCTTACGGAATCTTACGATGCAGACGTTGATGTGTTGCCTGGTGAAAGGCTAATTGATCTTTATTAAGCTAACGATCGTGTTACTGTTTAACGATGTTGTGGCAGCGCAATTAACCCTGAATAACCTCTTGAGTCGTCCCATTATTTGGTATGCACTTCGCACTTTCAAAGTTCAGAGTGTTTCTACAGTACCACCAGCCACTTAATGATCCTTTGACTCTTGATAACAAGGAAGTCGAAGTAGTTGATCAATTCATTTGCCTTGGTACCTGTATCAGCGACCATGGGCCCATAGCAACTGAAGTCAGTTCACGTACTGCAAAAGCCAGAACTACCTTTTTGAATCTGCGCCATTTTTGGTGGCAGAAAGAGGTTTCCCTCCGTTTGTAAGGCCGTGTTTACAAAGCCACTGAGGGCCGTTCTACTTAGTGGGAATCGGACTTGACCCCTTCGGCCTGAAAATCTGAAGCGCCTTGGAGTCTTTGATCATCGGTGTCTGCGGACCATTGCTGGTGTCGGGTGGCTCCAGCATGTACCGATCAATGATGTGCATAGGTGAGTGCTAGGCAATGATACCCGAGCTAGTTCTTTAGAACAACAGATATAGCACTGGATAAAATGCGTTGGCTTGCGTACGTACTACTTATGCCCGGTCACCACTTGCCTAGGAGGATCTTGTTTTGTCTTACAGATTTAGAATGACGCGAGGCTCGAGGTGGACAAGAGTTGACTTGACAGCGTGAAATGAAGTCATTGACGACTAAACTGGGTTCCGTTTGACCGTCCGGTCTTCCAGGCTGAAGTCCACCTGACTCCTTTTGTTCTTGGCTCGAGACTTTACAAGGCATGGCTCGCAGTCGTCATCAGTAGCGCACCCGGTGCCATATCCTAGTCGGACTGTCTGTTTAAAGTATCTTTGGCACTGAGTTATCTCCTAAGTAATGGCGCTTGTGACGCGGGTCGGTAAAATCCGCAAGGAAGCTGTCTCGCCGATGCCGCCTTTTCACGATAGCCAGCTGTCTGTGATGGCATACTGTTGACAAGGTGTAGGCGCCATGACCTTGAATGTTTGCTTAGGGCATTAAGGTTTTCCGGTAAGTTCCCCTTCTCTTCCTCTTATGGTTCTTCGTTCCGTAGTTCGTAATGGTTGTATGGCAGCGAAGCATCAGATGAAATTGCTGATGTACTGCTGTTGTTGATGACCATGATAATGCGTGTGCCACTGGGCCAAGTATTCTACGGGAACGTCAATCCCTCAAGCCACACACCCATGTTAATTTGCCATTATGTTTTCGATAATGGCGTTTACCCACAGTCGAGGAGTGATGTCTTGTAAGTTTTTCAGGATGCCTTGCGGAATAACATGCAGCTGTCCCCAGTATCCTTCCATACGCAGACCTATTGTCAGTTATGGCTGTTTTGAGCATGCTTGCAGCTACCATGTTTGATTCCTTTCTTACCCTCGTGGTTCTAAGTGACAACATACGTTAGTCTACCATCAACTTCATGTGATATCAAAGATTGCGTAAAACAACTGTTCTAATAACCAATGCACTAAGCTAATGTGTTCTTCATGGTAATTTAAACCATATCGTAAAGTGTACCCACTTAGCTCCGTCCTCTTGGGCTAAATCTCTTTATTTATGTTTTTCCGATACTGTCATTTTTCTTGGCTGCCTGTTCATCCGTCTTGTTCCATTGGTGGGTGTACTACAATTATTTGGGATTGCCTAGTTGTTTCACCGATTTTCTTTGTGATTAACTGCCTGAGGTGATTATCCGCGATTGCAACTTTTGAGCTGCCAACCACTAGGTTTTCAACAACCCATGTGAGCGAGCTTCACATCCATCCAACATCACCATGATCTACTGTTCCGGTAGGACAAGGGAGCCATGCCTTTTGTTGTGTCATTTTCATTCATGATATCATTTATTTACCGCGACGCGACCACTTCTAGTGGATGAAAATTCGCTTTTTGCCAACTTTTCTACTCCGTTACAAATGATAGGACGGGTTCACTAATCATTTTGCCGCCATTTTGCATACTACAGAAGACTACATTGCGACAGAGACCAAACTAGTTGAGGAAGCTTAGGGGCTGTGTATACATCCAGCGATGCACCCGATTCTTGACTGCGAGTGTAAGCACCACTAGGTCACCGCTGTTTGACGCCAGGCTCGGTCGTGTGTCACAACACGACCACCGAAATATGTGTGACGATAAAAATCTGTCCCTCGTGATTAAGCCATCATGTCAGGCGCGTTTCACTTTTTGTTTTACAATTGGTGTATCAATCGAGATACCTGATCACAATACCTAAATACCCACAGATTCCCCAAGCTATGGGTGCTCTCCATGCGATGACACCTGACGAAGAGCCAGTCAAACCCCACCCACATCGTTGAGTCTACCGGTTGATGACATTTGCATACGATTAATAATCAGCTCGGAATTGATGCTGCTTGGCGCAAATGATGTGCAACATTGTTCCAAGTAGATTGATTAGAACAGCAGCGAACACAATGCATACGTGAACCCATGAACTTGACTTAGTTGCACAAGACAGTGGTTAAACCACTTAAAATATACAATGCAGTTGGAGTTCTCATAGCCTGTGATCCCTATGTTCATCTGTTACTGTTACTTGTTTGTAGCGCATTCTCTTGTCTTACTCAGCTCTTACATCCCAGATAACATGCATCTCAGTTGAATACTCAATCAACCTTCAATCCTCTAATCTTTTCCAAATAACTGAATAAATCTTTTATCCTCAACATTATTAGGCACGCCTGTATAGGCATGATCATAGCAAAACAAACAGGATTGATAGATAATCCCAGATAACATGCATCTCAGTTGAACACTCAACCAACCTTCAGCCTTCAACCCTTTTCATTCTTAGCTCCCATCAACACGTGGATTGCATGGAAAGTCACTACAACGTTTCACTTCCAAATTTGTGTGAGGGTTATATCTGCCCACAGTGTACCTCAGAAAAGTCTGCGGCCACTTCGATTAGTCAAGCAGAGCCACATAACTTGGTGACCCCCACAATTTCCGTGGCATCGAATCAAACAGAAGCCCCTTCAGATTCCGCACCAGAACAAATTCAAGACACGGACCTCCAGGGATGCGGCTTGCTTCAGTCCACTCAGAATACTGCCGGTGATGTTTCCAGGCGTTTGGCCACAAAGGAGGGCACCGTCGGAGCTCAGTACGTTGAGATAACAGCTGATAGGGCCAAACGGTTAGGACTACTGCCCAACTTACTGAGGGCAGATAGCTCTACAGCTCCACACAATAAATTTGGAGATCGACATAATTTCAAAGATTCAGACTCGCGAACCTGCCACTTGGGCGTAGACTGGGAACGCTTGGTATGTCCTCCACTTTCTTCCACTACATTATTATTATTATTTAATCGATCTACATCGTTATCTTTATCTAGGCGAGTTGTTGTTGTCTCAATGTTAATCGTTTGTGTGTGCACAGTCCTAAAATATTCAATCTTAAAATATTTTATCGCGGACTTCGTTGTTGTTCCTGCTATCGGGCAACTCATTTCCGGGAATCATCTTCCATTGAGGTGTAGTGTTGCTCCGGGATTAGCCCACACCTTCTCCCGTGCCCACCCTTGAAGCTGTGCAACTTGAACAGTTAGATACTTTCGTTTATCTTGGCGGCTGTTTTTGCTGACTAGATTCAGCAAGGGAGTTTTTCCTTATATCGCTGAAGCCCGAGCAGCATTTGTCAATTTGAGGCACTTGTAGCGTCGTCGTGATGTCTGATTCTCGATAAAGGGTCGTGTTTACGGTGCCTCTGTCCGTTCATTGTTGTTGTATGTGAGCGAATTCTGGTCAGTTCGCGTGGAGGACATGCGTCCTCTTTCTGTCTTCGACAACAGTTCACCGTGTGTAGTGACAACAAAGAGTTCACAGTGATGACCTATGTCGCGTCTTGGGGTATGCGAGGATTCTCTTCGATAAGCTGGTTTTGCTGCGTCACTTGAGATGGCTTGGTCACCTGCTTCACATAGCGCCTGAGCGTTTACCGCGCCGCGCTCTATTCGCTCGTCAAGGACCTGGCTGGGAGCGACTGCGTGGTGGTCAACATTCCACTTAGCGATGTCACATAAAAATCACTGACGTCGCTTCTAGCCGCTGTTGGACTCATACGTCTTCCAGGATGGGGACCCAAGGATGAGGAGTGCAAATGACTTAGCACGCGTGAAGAGATGGCACTCAACCGGAATCAATGGAAGAATTGTGTACAGAATTCTATTGATTCACATGTTTATTACCTCGAACATTGCGAATGACCAAAAGAGAGTACTAACGGCTTGTGAACAACAAACTGAAACATGTTCCGTCCTATTTTTTACCTAGTTGTACTTTCCCTTGTTTTCCATAGTTTTTTGCTTGCCCCATGTTCATATATATATATATATATATATATATATATATATATATAAGGTCGGACTACCGTTGACGTTTACTGTGTCAGCGTTAGCCTAACGCACTCCCAGTATCTGATGAGTCCGAAACAATACGATGAACTGTGAATGCGAGCTAATGTTGTTTCGAATTATATCCTCATTTCTCTACACTGCCTCACATAAATCCTGCTGCTTGCGTGTAGCCTTCGGAACGCTGGCGCTTCTGTCATAACGATGGGGCTTAAATCTATCATGAATACGCGAATAGGGATTATTCTCGCTAATGAAGCAATAGACTAGTTGCATACTGCGTCTGCTGAAACTAACATCGCTTGGATTCGTCATAATCATGAAACCAGCGCCTTGGCAACGGTTAACTTACTCTAAGAAACCGAGATTCAGCATTTAGCTACCCGATTGGGTTTTAAGTCTTCCATTTTATCCATCGTCAATTTGGACAGGGGCTTCATTATTTCTGACTTTATGTAACTTGGATCGTTGCGCCTATCGGAAAGTCTATGTTAACTAGTTTTCGGAAGTCACGTAGATTATCCCAATCGATTGGGAGGTCATCTGTATTGACCGCGAACCACCGACCTTAGTAACTACTCCAGAATTCGCACAGGTCTATACGGTTGAGCTATTTTTAGATTCTTGATCTTCAGGAGCGGTTTGATCTAAATTCACATCCATCTTTTGATTTTGACCTAACTTGGGCTATCGCATCTGGAAATTGGGTCGTAGGCTAACTCACCGTCTCATGTACCTTATAGACACATTGCTCCACACGTTTTCCATCATCCATGTTTATGTTAGGGACTTGTGTGCCAGCTCATTAACAGTCGTGGTCCTGATCCTCAAACCTTCTAGTCTTATTCCTTATGATCGATATGGGAAGCGTCTGGAGTGAGTTTTGTGCGGGAGTGTTGCGACTGTTCACAGTGATAGCGACAGGATGCTGCCAGCTACAAATACACGCCTGTTCGGTGGTGCCACCCTTTAGCTCGTTTTGCCAATTTTTTAACATTGCTTTTACCCGTGTTATCGCTTTTCACATGTGCATGTATTCAGCGCCTTCGTGTTGATTGTTATTTACGCTGTACGCTATTCACTTGATTCACCGCACCTATTTCCAATGCAGACTGAACTCTCTCGATCCACCAGACGGGCCCATGGTGATACGAATGTGAATCTTCGTGTGCCCTCTCCCCCTCGGACATCGAAGCGAAAGCAGGATCTCACATCCACATCATGTAAGCGTTTTTTTAATTTCCGGGGCTCCTACGTTTTTCGGAGTTGCCTATGTCATCTACTTTACATTTGCCTTCATATTTCGAAGCATTCTCTTCTGTCATCTTCGGTTATCCCTTGCACCCCATAGTTCTCTTTCACAGTTATGCGCGTGTCATTAGTCAACTTTTTCTATTTCACTACTCAGCTGGTGTTCCCGGTGATGTGTCAAAATAGCTCAACTGGGTTAACCCTCACAAAAACCAAATGCTACTGATTCTTATATACCACTAAATGCTAATCATTTCACGCCTTTGCACTCTATTCGTCTCCTCTGTTATCGCTTGAATGGTGCTCCACTCATACTTCGCGTTCTGTCTATCCACCACCTGAGCGATTAGATCGGTCCGGCAATAGCCACCGGATGTGTACCCACTCACAGAGCGGGATTTGTACCCTCCTTTGCTTCTCCTTATTTTTATGAATACCATTCCGCCTCACTTTCTCCATATATGCATTACTCCTCCTTTGGGGTCTACTTTCCCAAAATTAATCCGCGCTCCTGTTTCCCCTTCCTCTTTAGATAACGACACTGATGTGGGCGTGATTGATCCCAATGCCGCCGATAAACGCATGTGTCCATCAAGCTCGATTGTACCATTGTATTCCGATGACTCCTCTTCTGCTAGCGTCACTCCAATGACTACTCCATCATCCACCCCATGCAAATTTCAATCCCCTGGCACCCCATCTACCCCTGGATTCACTTTGACTCCGGACTCTGAGTATGGGAGCTCTTCCGGATTGGATAGTCCAGCGCGCTATCATCGGCATGACAAGCGGCGCCACAAGCCTGGGTAACATTGGTTCTTAGATCACAGTTGTTCTTAAGTATCCCATGTTCCGTACTTCTTGTTTACTTATTTTTCCTATTCATCGGTAAGCTATCGACCGAAGCGTAGTTTTATATTACTCGTGAGTAGCAGGATTTTAGTTGTAATTTTGTTGAGGTTTCATCCCAGTAGTTCACAAGCTACATAGCACAGCCTAGTCCGGAAAACCACCAGACGCGTTTCGCCCTATTGGGGCACGTTGGTGGGGCGGTGCTGGCTAGTTAGCATCCGCCTCTATCTGTCATACTTTCGATCCTAAGTAGGGGACTGCGGGAATGCGCACCACTGACGAGCCCCAATAGGACGAAACGCGTCTGATGCTTTTCCGGACTAAGCGTAGTTGTTTTTTTAACTTCATGAGCTCCTCGAACGGATGGATTACTTTATTTACTAGTTTTGAATGCCTTCCTTGTCACATTTTCTGCACGTTATCTTGCCATTTTAACGTACGTGTTTTCTCATACACAGGCGCGTGCTCTTCGCTGATAACCTCTCCCCAGGAAAACGTGGGTTTGCCGTCCGGGCCAATCCTTTGGGTGCAGCCTGGGCCAAGGACTATCAGGAAGCCGACTGCAATGCTTACTCTCGAGCTTTGCTTGATTACGTTGAGCGGCGGCTGTAAGTAGCATTCTCCTCTATCAACCTACTTTCCCTCATACATTATACTTGCTGCGGAAAAGTCAACCGTGTGCTTACACAGGCGTTAATGATGGAATTTCACCCACATGGTGTTCGCCTTTAATTACTGTTATGGTGTGTGGGACTTTTCTATCTGTTTCTTCATTGCCTAGTGTCCGCCGACCTCTATCCTACCTGAGCGTCGGCACTCGATTCGGCGAAATTCTACCACGGGACTTGTTATATGGGCCTGCTTATGATGAGACATATCACCACAGACCACTTCATCCTCCTTAAGAATCGATGCAAAATTTTCAATTGCAGTTAGTCTTTCAGTTGCCAGATCTTACTCGATGTCCGTCCTACCTGACCTCGTTTTGCCTTCAGCATCATATTCTCTGCCATCAAACAGTGTTACTGATTAACGTGTTTTTTCGTGCCTGACTTAATTATTAATGAATATCGCGCCAACGATTGCTTTGATCTGGGCACCTCCATCCTCCGTTTTTCAGGTATTTTTGAGTCCCTACATTTGTTTTTGCTAAATTTTAGACAGTTTCTTAGCTGCTTACTCTCAGCATTCTGGTCTACTTCAGCGCACCATAAACTTAAGCGATCATGCAATTTTGCCTTTCCGAGGGCTACGGTCGACCGACATCAGTTGCAGCCTTTAGGTTCCAATTGCCACGACTTTCCTTTGACGATCAGGGAAAATGTTTCTCGGCAATTCTCAAGAACCTGCATGAAACCCCAAATTTTTCTGTCACAAGTGTGAGCTGGTCAGAGTTCGCCCGTTTTGACCACTGTGTGTTTTGCACACTAAGAGACCTACCTGATTTGATCGCTGGTGCTTGCGATACGTAATAATGAAGCCAGCCAGTTCTATTCATTAGCGAAATGATATTTCTATTGAACTTGAACAGTTTACACATGCTAATTCATGTTCTTTTCGCGTATGCCAAGCAGTTTTTCATGGTTTATCTTTTTACGGCACCACGTGATCGATTGGCAACTCTAGGCGCCAGTTAGAATCAGTTTGATTCGGTTTAGTTCAGCTGTGATCCGAATTTCTTGCATCATAAATAAATAAATAGCTGATTTATTCTCGTCAGTGCGAGGTACGTCTGCACTAAAGTGTGGCAAGCTAACCCCTAACGTACTGGGTTTGTGCTTTGTGCAAGTAGACATGGTGAGTTTGTTAATAGGACTCGAAATTCGGGCTTTTGTTCGCCGTATTCACCATCATATGAAACGACGAAAGGAACTCTTCGAACTGGATGACGTTCGTGAAGTGGGAAAGATGCTCCGGAAAGGAAACAAACAGTGACTTTATTTAGTGACGAGTCACAACCGCCACGTCGCAGTGTTGTTAAACAGACATTTGTTACTTTTTATCGGGAGAACGCTTACCAGGCGGAAATTCACCACGTCCTGGAGAACTGTGGTTTCACTCATTATCATTCTCCTCTCTGCATAGACTGTTTCCACTGGTTCTTCCTTTCACTTCTACTTATCTGTCGATCTAGTTTGTTACTACCCTTGTTTTCCACTGCAACACCTGCCACATGCTGGTGTTTGCTTTTATCCATCTTGAGTTTTGTGCAACGGCTCCGTATAGCTTGACACATGAAGCTGTTAAAATTTACATTTGCTGTCCTTACAACACCGCTTATTCCACCGTGGGCTACTGGTTGAAACCTTATCTCCTTGACTTCGCCATCCTCCCACTGAGAGTTTGAAGAAGTGTCGGTGACCACCCCTCCTTTCACCACCCATATCTCGAAACCGCCCGTGCTGTGATTGCAGTCAGCTCGATTACTGCGATTACTGTTCCTACTGTTAGCCATGGGCACTACCACATCCAATTCTGTGGAACATATGCCCTCATACTCCTGAAACTGAGCTTGTGTGTGTCTGCGTGCGTGTACCGAGTTCGGTCCTTTTTCCACCTACTTGGGAAGTTTCATTCCCTTTGTTCTAACATGCATTGATGTATCTTATGGTTTACATTTTTAGCTCAAATGTCGGAGCTGATGAGCCTTGTGTCAAACCCCCTCAAAGTAGATAAGCGCTGAATGCTATCTATTAGCATTGCCTTTTTGTCTAGTTCTTTTGGTATTCGACTCCTCAATTGAGATCAAGGCTTGACAGCACGATTATCCTGCACTGACAATTTGTCTCCGCCTCTTGTGTTATTTTTGCTGTTGCTCGAGATACCTTAAACTCCTCTGTTTTTTGCGTTTCTGTTTCATCGAAGATTTAAACCTCCGAGTTTCTTTTACGGTTACTTTGTCGTGTTTCAACCAACGCTTGTCTTACACCATTCTTTTTCTTGTTACCGTTTAACATGAATATTGAATTTAAATTATCTTGCTTTAAAGCGGATCAATTGGTCTACCTGACTTAGGTTCCCTTGGCCGGCCCGTAGTCTAAAGGTAACAATCTTGTCCTGTAATCTGATGGCGCGAGTTCGAGCCTGCGTAAGGGCAGGACGTCCCTCGCAGAATCATTAACCCACATGCGACCGGTGGTGGTTGAGCGGCAGCGAAGCGTCGATACTGCGTACCGGGGTACTGCTGATGCCTTTCCCTTAGTCGATTCGATTCACACTCTATATTGGTAGAGCGCAATTTCCTGCTCACTACAATATAGGTTCGTCGTTTTGTCCAAGCCTGTTCGTGTTTTTTATTCACGCGCCGCCTGACCTGGGAATTAGTACTGCCTTCTGATTATGTAACGGACTTTATCGCTAGCAATTGGGCTTATCCGCATCCAGGCTTATCTAGATTTGTCGCCTCGGGAACCAATAACCGAGGAACTGAAAAGAGATGGGCGCACAGAATCCTTCGTCTTGAAGTCTCATTTGGACTTTCCATTTTAGTTCTTATCTACCAACGAATGACGATACGTGGTAGTTATGTGTTTGTCTGCATCCGGCCTTTCTTTTTTTCTTTTTTAACATATTTAATTAACCCAGATTTACACAGGGGAGTATTCTTGTTTAGCCCATCCCATAAATACGTGTTCAACGTTCGCGATTCCTTCGCTCCCCGTTTCATCTTTCCGCTGTCGTCGTCATATTCCAGATCCTCACATGTGGAACGGAACTACCGGATCCCTCCAAACTGTCTCACTCGCAGTTCGTTGTGCCGTGTTGTACTTTTTGACCACGATGACAAGGTGAGTTTCCACCCGGACGCTGCTGTTTTAGTCCGTTGAAGTTCTGTTCTAACTGGCAAATTTATTTCACACGTAACCTCGACTACTGTTCGTTATTGCTACGCAAACAAAATGCGGCACATTTTCTCCGAAGAATTCCACTCCGTTACCACGTCTCCGCTACGTCTCCGCTTCTCTCTAATCAGGGTCTTGAAGCCGCAATTCGACTCTCTGCCAATGAAGTCGTCACCGAAGTTCGAGGCAAGTTTTTGCTTCTGGAGGAGTATGAACACTATATTGACCCAATATCTGAGTAAGTTTTCTTTTGACCTCGTCACACTTTTTGTATGTTAGTGTTCGATGAGTCTTACGAACCATATGTTTGTCACATGCGTCTTCATTCAAGTGCCACAGTCCTTACTCCATTTAACCTAAATACAAGTTCTTTCTATTTCCACTGATAGCAGGTTGCTGTCATGTGCCATCTCCGTTGTGGTGCACAAGGCGGTGTATTGCTTGATCTCAGTGCTCGACAATCAGTTATAATGAAATTCTCCTCATCGATGGCAGTTGGCTTTGAAACACCAAGGCCACTGAGCTCATCCATTAGGTATTTGTGGCGCCACGGCAAGATGAACGCACATTCCTTTTTTATTTTTTTATCGATCGCTTACTGCACTCATAATTGGTGGAGCCTGATCACTTTCGTCGGCACGCGGATATCCAAGTTGTGGTCTGACAGGTTTGGAATCTGTGTTAATTACAAAGCTAAGCAGGCCGTTCATCAAACATACCTACTTCGGCGTGTTTGTGGAAACACTTAAGATGTCTATCCGATTGGCCAAAAACTTCATCAAACACCACACGGATGATCGTAAAACTGACGTGCTAATGCTTACATTGGAACAATTCTTTCTACGTTGTAATTATACTGTGTGGTTCTAGGGCCCCGACCATCATTAACATTGAAGTTGCATTGGAGCAGCGATGCGGAGACGAGTATTACAAACCCACATTGACGTCAACACGTCGTAAAAATGATGTGATATTTGGTCAAAATGGAAGTAATCAAGAATCGGCGAATGTGATGACCCAGATCTATTCAACGACAAGCATATTCACCCGGAAGAATTTTTTGCTTCTTATGACTACACTTATAGAGGTTCATTAACAGCTAGGCAACCACGTTGCATACGCGACTAGAGTGGTAATGTGTATTAGCATACAAACCCTTCGCCGACCAAGAAATAAACATTGAATGTGAATCCACATAGACTTGTCTGGTGCCATCGAGGTCGATTCTGTGATACAGCGGATGGCGGTCCATGTGGCCATCAATGATGCTTTTGGAGTCACTGTCAAAACGTGGAGGATTTAGTGGTTGCCAGGTGACACTGTATTAGTATGCTTCATATGCGCAGTGTAGTTTTTCAGAAAGAGCTAGTGTTACTTTTTGTCGGCCCGTAGCCTAGATAAATCGAGATTGTCTCGTAATAAATAAACGATTTATTCTCGACGGTGCGAGTCACGCCTTCAAAGGTACGATTATGGTAATACAAACGCGTAGCATCAGTAATGGTACAGAAATGTTATGATTTAACCAGTACATACTGCATATGTGTGTGTGTGTGTATGAGTAGTATGTAAGTGGGTGCATGTGTAAATAATCGTGTGTGAATTTGTTAATATTACTGTGAATTTGTGAGTTTGTTCGGTGAATGCACTCATAGGAAAGGATCAGATGTAATCTTTGAAGTGGTTGACGTTCACAAAACGTGTAAGATCCTCCGGTATTGCAAGCAAGTGACTTGATTTAGTGGCGAGTCATGTCCGCAACGTCACAGTGTTGTTAAGCAGACATTTGTGGCTTTTTATAGAAAGAACGCTTGACAGGCGAAAACCCACCTTGTCCTGGAACACTGCCGCCGAACTATTAGCTGAACCGGGATTAATCCGAACCACCTAGCTGGCACCACGTGGAGGTTGTTCGGCCAACGCGGGTTCGAATCCGCGTTGGGGTGGGCGTCCTCGCGGTAAACTCAGCCCGCGTACGCGTGGTGGTGGTCGCACGGTACCAAAACACCGTTACGGCGTACAGCTGACACATTATTATCATTATTGTTATTATTATTATTATTATTATTATTATTATTATTATTTAGTGTTAATTTTTCTAGGGTTTTTGCAGGTACATCGTCGGTCATACATGCACACACACAGCACTCTAGCCACCTCCCTGTTAATTTCCTTGCATTCTGTGCTCGCAATTTTACTTTGAATAATCGTCATAAGCTTTGTTTGACCACCAATTTTCAACTCTGATGTCGTTGGCCTCCCGAAGATAATTCCTTTTGGTCCCATCTATGAACTTATCTGCATTTTTATCACTCATTATCAGTCTGTTGGTCTTGTGATGTGTAATTTTCACCATCTCCAATGATATTGCAGTCCTTTTTCTCGGTAACGGTTGATTTTTATATTGTGGGTCATCATTGAGTATTTTACTGCAACTAAAGCGCCTATGGAAATGGGCGCGACAGCAATCGCTAAAAATGTCACCAGTAAAATTCATGTCCATTGACAAAGGCGATGAGTCGTTTTGAGTGCAAGTTCGTCATCATCAAGGGGATTGGCGGAACATCAGCGCATCGTTGTACCTGATGCTCCAATGGTGATATCTTTTTATATTGATCGATTTTTTTACCTCTGAAATTACTTTCGTATAATTGGAATATATTGCTTTCGAGTGGGCAAACCATCTCGCACTATTCTTAGTGGGTTTCATTGTGTACTGTCTCCAACTTTCCGGGTCCCAGTCTCCGTTCTCTCATGATCTTGGGCGCTAAATCGCCAGCGGTTGCACCACAGGTAAACGTCTGCATTTGATACACTGCTGCATCGCACTGAGATCTTATTTTGAAGTCTTGCTAACATGCGGCTGCTGCCGGTTGCATAGGAGCCAGATACTGCGATGTCGCCCACGCCTTTGCGAGTTCAGACCGATGACCCGGGGATTGCAAGCCAGATTCCCGAACTACTCTGGCACTGGTACGAGTGTTAAAGTACCGAATGTATTAGGTCAATTGCAATGGTGGCGCTAAATGGTCCAGGATTGCACTGGTAACGTCGTGGATAATTTTGTAGCGTTTTTGGCATCACGTGAACTATGGGAAGGGAGAAAATTTGCGCCCACATCGGGCTGTAAGACATTGACCTACTTTGAATGTTTGTAGGTGTATAAGGATAAGAACGCAAAGGAGGACAAAGTAGAATTCCTTTTCTTGTCTAATCATAGATGAATGTGACTTTTGTTATTAGGGTTTTTAAGTGCTTTCTACCACCTCATTCATGACACTGATCATGCTTTATGACACTCAAAAATAAACCATATATACAGTAAAAATGTTAATCGGGGAAAAACAATGCACAAAATGTGCGCCTGTCAGTGCTGCAGAAAATTGGCTACTGCGCTAGAATATATGCTCATCGCGGCTACACAGAGGAAAGAACATAGTTTACTAATGGAGCAAATTGCGTTGAGAAGTGCGCCAAGAAACCCAACAAATAGGTATGACGTGGAAGGTTTTTTAGTAATGGGAAATACTAAAAATTTGGGGAAATATATTGATGAGCATTTGGTTATTGAAGGTACAGTGAAACAGTAATTTTTTCACAGATAAAATCGCTTAACTATTTCCGTAGGTAAAGATGAAAACAAAAATGAATTTACCAATAAAAACGCATCTTTTACCTTCACATTGTTTGGCTGCATTGTCCCGTACCCAAGTAACTTGGATTGAATCATATAGTATACTGAATACTGGTTCGAGGCAGCGAGTAGAGCTTTCTCTGTGTAGCTGCATCATTCGTCGCTCTTGGACATTTACGCCTTATTTTTCGTTCCGCTCTCTATATTTTGTCTCTGCAAAGTGTTTGTCTAGGAGGTTCTTAAATTCGGACACTGAGTTTTCCTCTACTATGTGATGCGGCAGGTTGTTCCAGACATTCACCACTCTGCGTTCGAAACAGAGTTGGTGAGCGACCCGCTTCAACTTCGGTACGATAAGTTTATACCGGTGTCCTCGCGTGCAGCTTGGTGTGCGCAGATGAAGCAGTTGTCTCAATATGGGGTAATCATTAAGATGTAATATCCGGTGCGTCATGATGAGGTCAACCCTCAGCCGACGGTATGCTAGGGAGTATAGCCCTAGTTTCTTACATCGGTCTTCATATGGCATACCTTGTAAGTTGGGAATCAGCCTGGTGGCTACATGCTGCACCCGTTCAAGTTTTTCTACCTCTCCCAGCGTGATGGGACAATACGCGGGAGAGCCGTATTCTAGCATTGGTCGTATTATCGACATGAAGAGGCGAGTAGCAATCCCTTCGGACCAACTGCTGAAGCTGCGCCTGAGGGCCCAAAGCATCCGAAGGCTGTTTTGGTACATCCTATTCGTGTTGTCAATGGAATTTAGGTCGCAGCGTGAGAGCACAGCGAGGTCGCGCACGAAAAGCGCGGAATGCAGCGGTTGACCAGCCACTGTGTACGTTCGGCTGTGATCACACTTACCCAACCTCATGAATTGCGACTTAGCAGGGTTGATCGGAAGGTTAACCTCTGCAGACCATGTCGAGAGGCTGTCGAGATCCTGCTGAAGTAAATCACAATCTTTGAGTGTGCGGATTACTCTCCACACCTTCAAGTCATCTGCGAACAACGTACAAGGTGATTGGAGTAGCTTAGGCACATCGTTTACATGGATCAGAAACAATATCGGCCCCAGTACAGTGCCTTGGGACACGCCGCTGCTCGATGGATACCAGTTAGTTAGATGGTTGTCGAATTTTGAATTCGGACAACGTAGGAGCGGAGATGACCGTATGTACAAATGCGTTCGACGGCTTGGATGCACGAAAAGAGAGTGTTACGGTGGCATTTTCACCGGCTGTACCGAGTCGCTAACTTCCCATATTAGCTGTGTTTCAATATGGGTCGGCATGGGTGGTTAGGATCCTTGAAGATCTGACACACCTCGCAGAACGCGATATAGTTAACTGAAAATCCCAAAAGTCTGTAGACTGCTAAGGTAGGTAGAGCAGTCCCTTAACATTTTTGTCGCCCTCTGTTTTGGCTTCTTAAGAGCTGCGAGGTCACGTTTTTGCCAAAGGTGCCAGACCTGAATCGTGTATTCGACCTTTGGTCGCACGTAAGTCTTGAGCATTTGCGAAAAGAAGGTAGGATCAAACTGGCCAAATGCCCTCCGCAGTAGGCCTAAGTGTTTTTTCTGACTTTTTCACTGCAATTTGACTTTGTTTTGAACATCCGAAATCATCCTGCACGAGCACCCCGAGATTACTTTCATGAGAAGTGCACTTCATGACGATATGGCTTGTGCCTTTTATTTTGCACTTGGTAACGTTAAACCCAAACATGTTCTGGATCGATCACTCTTTAGTCCTGTCGTATACTCGTTTTATTTCCCTCCAATTTTTGAGATTGTTCGCAGTGAGTAGTAAGTACGACGTCAAAACTTCCACAAGAAATCGCTGTCGGGTTAGGCAGAGTGCGTCTTTGGAGTTGGTATGGATGAATCTAGCCTAGCATAGGCTCACACTGACCAAGTAGCTCCGAAGTTAGTGAAGAAAAATCTGGTGATTAAAGCGAAGGCCCTCAAATTCGACTGTTACTGCTCTCCATGGAAGCTTATTTTACACTATCGACTGGATTCTTTATTTTATTTGTATCGTTGAAGCAATCTGTTTCCTCTGATCAAGTTTCAAAGTCCATGTTGTCCTACTCCGCGTTACGCATTACTGCCTAACATCCGTGCTTCATCGAATACGGTCATAAAGTCAGGAACACCTTCCAACGAAAGCGTCGTGCTGGTTAGCAATATGGCATCAGTCATTATTCTGACAACAAAGCGCAAGTCCCACGCTTACTTTCCAGTAATGTTCGCTCGCTTGTTGATTAAATCGGTGATCTCAGTGCCATTATTCAGCGAAATGCGAATGTTAATACAGGAATCATTCTGTTCACAGAAAGCTAGTTGCATACTGATGTGCAAAATGGGGTTATTTAACTCGATGCTTATTTTTCCATGAGGTCTGACCGCCCTGGGAAGCTCCTGTTTCTTGGGGTGACGTTGTAACTTGGTTTGGTAGATCTAGTATGTATGTTGAACATCTCCCTACACAAACCACGTTTATAGGGTGTAAATATGCTGACGATGCTGTGCTGGGATTTATGTCCTCCCACTAACCAGGATTCCTTATCACTGCAACCCGGGTTGCAAGATCTGGTGAATGGTTTTCATCCAGATCTCTTACGCCTAACGCTTTTAAATGCAATGATGTAATTTTATCTTTTCCACTTGGCAGTAAGTTGCAGTTCCTTACAGATTTCTCCCCCAACCTTACTGTGAATCAAAACCTCATGCCCAGCTCCACCGTCAAGTATCGGCGCTTTCTATTAATCCCAGAACCATTGTTGGTCTGTAAAACTTTTCAAAAAGGCAGAAAACTTTCTTTTTTGCACTCCGACTTAAGGTGCTTTCAGTATCACGTACTTTAATATTCAGGTTTGTGACCTTTTGCACTATTTCCCATTGGTTATACTGTCCTGTCACTTTCCCTGGACTGCTTCAGAAGAACTGCATCTTATTGGTGCACTCTATACAGCAAATTTCTAGATGCAGCAGCTTTTCTAGAGATTCTTAAGTTAATTTCATCATTTTTAGACATCTTGATGCCTGCTATGACTTTTACTCTAAGGTATTAACTGATCGATTTTATCCACTTCATAATGGTCTTCTCAAAACACTCTTTTTCTCTTCTCGTTCGAGATTCAGCATTTTATTCTCCTGCACGTCATCGTATCTTAATACTGTTCCTTTTTTGTCGTTTGCTTGTTGACCCAGCGGAAGTCACTAACATGCTGCGCAAGCGGTTGTTGAGGTAACAGTTGTGCAAATTTCCCACATTTCTCCCCAAGGATGTGTATTGAAATTATCATCCAGGTGTCCGCAGTGGTGATATATATGCTGAAAATGAACTATTAGTGTTCATAAAGCTTATTTTGACTTGATTTGAGAAATCAAGGTAAGTGTTGTCGACTCCTTCTCCAGTATTGACGGACTCCGTCCAGCTATCACGGGCTAATAAAATATTCGTGGTACTTGGGCGGTTTTGTCGCAATCTATATTGCTCTTGCACGATGATATGGCACCTCCCTACATATCCCATGAGTGCATCTGCAACAACAGATCCCCCTACCTTAGCAATCACATGAAGTGTAATCGGGCGGTAGTCTGCGGGCACTGCATGATTGCCTCCCTTGTAAACGGCTGTGACTATTCCACGCTTTCACATTGTTGGGACCTGCGTCTCGTCCCAAGGGAACTGGGATAATTAAGATAATGTTTCAGCCAAGGTCGTGGAAGCTACGATTAATCACTTAGGACATATGCTATCCCGACCAGGTGAACTGCACTCGAGTAGTGACTTCAATTGTTTCAGCACATCCGCGGCTTTGAGGAAGCTGTGGCTAATCCTTGGGGCGATGTTGTATGTTTGGGAATGGTATGAGATAACAATGCACTCTAGAGAGCACCAGCGAATTGATGTCTAAAGACATTAGCTGCTCCTTGGACAGTTTGCGCTTGCCGATATGCGGTGTTTAGAGGACATGCCTTGCTATAGTTTGCGAAGTTTGTTAACATGCCTGTAAAGTATCTTAGGATTGCAGTGAAATGTCTTCCCCTAATCCTTTTGGTGTTTTAGTTTATCTCCGCGGATCAGTTTGACACCGTGGTTCCGCTCGGTTATGTAAGCACTGTGGTTTACAGCGTTTGAATTGTATTGATATACTTTCCAAAGTAAATTTCTCAAGGCCATTCATTTCCGCGTCCTGCTCCTCAAGTAGGACTACCCTTTTGAGCGGAGGATCCTAGTCTCTGATGCGTTGGTTACTAAAGCGACATCAGGGAGTTTTTCCGCTAGAAACGACCGATCAGGTCGGATGGAATGCTGTTATGTACTACTATACGGATCTCTTCTATCTCCCCATTGCATTGACATGACGGAAAAGCAGTGTTGCATAATCACTGCGTCCCAAACGGCAGCTCAGTTACTGTATCGATCATAAGTTCAACATTGGTGATGGCGAGATCCAGAGTGTTCGGTTTGTTCCTCATTCTGAAGGTTGTCGGAGAAGTGACGTGATTCTAGGGTGGTAGACCGACGACTCGTTTTTGCCGTTAGGCCCTAAACTGCCGGGCAAGTTGATGTCTCCCTCATGGAGATCCTAAGGGTTAGGCTGAGCCAGAACGGTTTTCAGAGCGGAAGCTAAACCGTTATCCAATTCCATAATGGACTTGGAAATGGTATGCGGGGGAAACTCAACATGTCACCACGTCTTAATTGCAGGTGGCTTTAAAGTGAGTCCACAACTTTAATCTATGAGTTGTCAGCGACTTGGAAACGTAGATCACTGCGGTAGTACAAAATTACGCCACCTCCCCTACTTGGTCGATCTTTCCGTAGGACAGACATACCAGATAGAGCGATCTCCGCCCCTGTGATTTCATCACCCAGCTAGGTCTCAGTTATCATTATTAGGTCCATAGACATCGAGGCTTGACGAGATTAAAGCTCGGATAATTTGTTTAAGAGGCTCTGAGCATTGGTATACATACAAGGGATGTCAGAAGTATATTCGACAGTGCGAGTGTCAGGTGCGAGCCTTCTCCGACCTTTCTGAGGCCGGCAAATACTTGTTTTTTGGGTGTGGAATTGCTGACATTGAACCTTGAGCCGCTTCATATTGGCTGACAGAATGCTCATCGGGTGAAGTTATGGTTTTACTAAGTATTGAGAAAGTCTTTCCCGCTTCAACAGTTGTCTGTGCCCTTCAGTGTTCCGTTTCGCAAGTAACTGTTAAACACCAGTGATCTCAAGTCAAGTCATTGTCAAAATAAGCGTTATATATCCAGATGGGTAAATTTTCAGCACTTCGCAAAATCGATTAAGTTTGGGCTAAAATTACATTATCAGAACTGTAAATTTTTATGAATGGAGAGTGGTACAGGTGTCACTTGAATAAACTGTCAGTATAAATGAGCAACAATTGAACATTTTCGGACAGGTTAATCTAAAGCTTTATTCCGTGGACAGGCCAACGTTGCTAGATTTCCATTCGGGACGGTCCATTTTCAAGTGCGCGGTGTCTTGAATTTTTCTCAACAAGTGAACGAAGGACAACATTGGCGACCTTGGAAATAGTTTGACAATGGTCTTCCGAGCAGACTATTGTATCCGTAGCAATATTTAAAAGAACGATGTCTAGTGAAAACGGCACGGCCGATTTAGAGGCCCCGACCTCATTCGGTCATTTAGAGTTTGATGTTTAACGTCTTTATGTGTAGCTCTAAGCGGAGCTTCTTACGCCACTTGCGCTACCTTTCAGGTGCGTTTTCCGTCATGTGTTTGGACTGGAACACAATTTTCTTGACCTTTGGATCACACCCTTTGTACTTTGATCGATTTAGCAATCGCGTTGTCGAGTGAGGACACATGACGAAGGTGGATGATCAACGTCGTCGTAGTGCATATTTAACAGACCTCTAGGCGACGATGTCACCAGGTGTAAATTGCTTAAGAACGCATTACTCAATGTTGACTACGGCCCAACGTTATGTTCAACTAACGCTGCCTGAGGCTGTTGTTAATGGCCATCGAAGAGTAGTGTCAGTACGTAGAATATGGACCGAACACAGTGGGGAAATGACGCTGGCGTTCAGTGAGATTGTTTCTTGTGTGATTTTCATCCTTGAGGAACGTTGCGATACTGCAGCTCCACGCTACTAATTAAGAAGCTAGTGTGTATGTGTGTATTAATCCGGGAACTGTTTTGACCCGTTTCCATCTCACTTTTACCTTTGTTTTTGTTCCATTATTATCACATCTCAATCAGCCGACCGAGTTCTTATTTTTTCTACGCACCCCATCTTTCTGACACGTCCATATTTCCTTCTTCTTGTTTCAGATATAATCGTTACGTCATGTTTTATCGTGGCTTCGGCGATCGTGCAATTATTGTCGATTCGTCCCAATATGGAAACCATGCCCGATTCGTGCGACGCTCCTGCATCCCCAATTGCCGTGTACGTTTTAGTTTTGCGCATGCTAACGAGCTTGCTTCATAACGACATTGAACACAAATTCCGGGTTTACGCGGAATCGAACAAACTTGACACAACAGAATTACTGAACAGGTAGTTAGCTCCACACCGTTCCATCTCCTCAAGTGTCCATACATGATGTGGGTGAGCGCGTTCGATGCAGCAGACACCAGTGATCCGCCTTGGGCCGCATTTTTAATACCGTCGGTTGTTCGATACCAAATATAAGAGTCAAAATATTCATATAAGCTGAGGGTTGCATATTTTGATGTTATCCTGTATATTACCAACAGCACATTTGCGCCATGTGCCACACCTGTGCAAACGATCTTCCCAGCAATTCCCATACTTGTCCCATTATGGTCACTCACCACATTTGCCTCAGTATCCCCAAACACTCATCCATTTCATCGAACAATAATGTGCACTTTATTATTGGGTCTTGGAGTACTTTACCCTGAACCGATTGTATGACTTTCACGCGACTAATCTGCACTCATTCAGAGCGCAAATTTTACCACCGTCCCGGGCGGCAAGTATAGTTGCTACGCCACCTTTATGGCGTAGAGGTGGTATTAGTACAATACGTTCATTCTGTACTGTGCGTCCGTGGAAGTCTTAGTGCAACCGAACGCGGATACGCTTAAACCATGAGAGAACCTCTCCCGGTATTTTGGGCGATTTAGCGCCTACGCAATTACCATTTTTGAATAAATGTCACTATTATAACTGAAAATGAGGCGTTATAGTTCATTTCCCATACTCAAAAGTATTTTGCTAAATTGTCTGTGGTAATGGTACAACGCTTGGGCGATTCGTTCTTTGCGTATTCGAATAACATCCAGTACTGTATTGCTAAACTCATTCCACCTGCTGAGTAGTTGTCGCTAAACGGTACATCTAATTACAGAACGTCTTTTGACGCAGCCATTTCCAGTACGCCATTCCCGTCTGATTTGTGATACGTGGAAATATTATCACTCTATCATCTCATCAGTCCATAAACTTATAACCCTGAAGAGAAGAGACGATTAGAATCGATTTATTGAAAACAGGTATTTCAATTTGCATCTGCATTTACAGATTCGACTGACTAAACTTCCTGTGCCATTTCTTCTTAGAGCGATTGTTGGCAAAGTGATCAATCACTATCCGTGACTTTTGTTATCGAACTTTAGCGATTATCCTTACGCAAATATCTTCTTTTGTTAATCGGTCTGGCTATCCAAGTACAAGTATATCGCGTCACCGTGATACTAAGAGTCGACGATGAAAGACCCTCGAAAAGTGAAACGAAGGGACCAGTTGGAAATGACAATGTAAACTACTACTTCAGGATTGGCAGATGCCTGTGCCTACCCTCACCATTGCTGGTGATGTCCTGGAACAAGTCCACTGCTTCACTTATCTAGAGACTTGCATCACAGCTGATGGTTGTATTGGAGTTGAGGTCTCATAACGGATCGCGAAGGCTTGCTTTGCTAAATACTGAAATTAGGGAGCGAGAAGATAAAAATATGTACTCATGAGTCGGGGATTTTGATATAGATAATTGAGGTTCATCACAGCCAGCTTCCAAATCAGATAGTCGTCCACGTGCCCGGAAAATATATCCGCCCTAACAGTTTCTAAATGCTGTGTCGTCCATAGCTACTGTTAGTGAACGTCGTGTCTTTCGGGGCCAACCCTGTCCTCTGCGACTTTCGTAACTTGCATGGCAGTGGAGGATAAGACGCGCTATATCACAGTTGGCTTGTAAGTCATACGGTCCGAAGCTGTCCCCCATGGCTCAGTGGCATAAGCTGCTGACTGACGGTGCAAGCCGCTGGTGGTCATGGGTTCGAATCCTGATGGATCCGATGGATACGCACTACTGATGATGCCCAACAGGCTGAAACTGCAGTCTAGTGCTTTTCCGGGCATGTGGACGACTATCTGATTTGGAATCTGGCTGTGATGAACCTCAATTATAAAAATATGTGTTGCTCCGTCGTAATTAGATCGGGCACCTGCACGGAATCACGTCGCTGATCCTGCGTAGCGACAGCGCATTACAGCTGCACTACATCTTATCCGGTTGTGATACGCTCCCTATGCATGTAATCCGCAAAGTGGACGTCGAGGAATCTCTTAAATTCCGACACAGATTTAGCCTCGACTGTTGTCTCCGGCAACTTTTTACAATCTTTCACCAATCGACCCTCGAAGCATATATGGTGAGCGATGCGCTTCAAACCCGCTACCACTAATTTGTACCGGTGTCCGCGTGTACTGCTTGGTGTGCGAACATGCAGCGGCGACTTCAACATAGCGAAGTGTCCCAGGTGCAGTATCCGGTGCGTCATAATGGGATCAACTCGAAGCCGACGATATAACAGGGTATTAAGCCCTAGTCTCCTACATCGATCCTCTTACGACTTACTACGTAAACTGGGAATGAGCCGCTTAGCTACATGCTGGACCCGTTCCAGTTTCTACACCTCACCTATTGTGATCGGACAATAGGCGGATGAGCCGTACTCAAGCACCGGTCTTATCGTGGAAGAGACGGGTGGCAATCTCTTCAGACCAAGTTCATAAGCTGCGTCTGAGTGCCCAAAGCAGGCGTAGTCCTTTTACGTACAGTCTGTTCGTGTTGTCAACAAACTTCAGATCACAGTGTGAGAGTGCGCCTAGATCCTTTACAGAACTGGTGGGATGCAGCCGGTGGCCGGCCAAGGTGTACACTCGCCCATCACCACCCTTTCCTAGGCTCATAAACGAGGACTTGGCCGGGTTGACCAGTCGGCCAACTTCTGCAGACCACCGGGATAAGCGCTCTAGTTCTTGCTGAAGAACGTCAGTCGCCGCGAGAATCAATAACTCTCCAAATCTTCAGATCGTCTGCAAACAATGCGCAGTGCGACCGAAGAAGCTGAGATACTTCATTGATGTTGGTCGGGAACAAAATTGGCCCTAGTATTGTGCCTTAGGGTACACAACTAGTGGATGGGTACCTTTCCGTTAGGTGGTCCTCCACACGTACCCGCCATTTTCTCTTAATGAAGAAGTTACTTATCCACTGGTGTAGTGCTTCACCCTCAGTGCTTCATCCTCAGCTTGTGGAGGAGGATCTCGATGCTCAATATCGATTGCTTTACTGAAATCAGCGTAAATAACGTCTACTCAATTCCGCCGGTTCAACACCTGCAACCATTTGTGCCGCGTCGACAGCAGGTTGGTGATGCAAGAGCGGCCCTTCATGGAACCGTGCTGTGTGGTCGTTATGAATGGAAAAGACCATTTTTCACCATTTCTCGGGCACCTTCGCTGAGATAGAGGTCAGATAAATCAGCCGGTAATTGTGCACCTTAGTCGCTTCATCGCCTTTCGGGCTCGGCTTTAATACCGATCATTTTCAATCGCTCGGCAGTGCACCTTCAGACAACGATCTGTTGAACAGATCTCACAGCAGGCGAGATGATGGCCGATAGGGACTTTAGAATTAGCTGATAGCGGCCGTCGGGTTCGGCAGGCTTCGTGTCCTCAATACTGGCTAGTAGACTGCGGACATCTTCCACATCGCATTCCAGGCACTCGAGTTCGCTAAGAGCTTCACACGTCGAGTTGGCATACTCGCGCGCTCACCTGTAATTACGGAAGCGAAGTGCGCCGCCATTGCGGATGCACGATCAGTGCTGGAAGTCAGGGCCTGTCCACTCGAGTCTTCTTACACTGCTAGGTCACCTGCGGGCCTCAGGCTTCGCTTTACGTAGGCGACAATCTTTTTGGGCGCTGACTTCGCTGAGGTTGCGAGCTCCTCTTCGAGCTGTCGACGCTTTCCTCATCAGACCGCGACACTTATGGTGCCGTCTGGACCTCAGTCTCAAACCCGAGGGTAGGGTATACATTGCCTCTGTCCGTGCGGTCCTCTGGTATGACTGAGACCTGGCCGACTCGCTCGGAAAGCATAAAACAATTGTCCGTTTTCGACAATTATTGTCTGTGTAAAATTGCTCGTGGCAACATCACGTGATTAACGCGTAAGTCAGAGAGCGACTGTAGTGAGCAAACAGACCGTGCCTCCAAACGGTTATTTTCGGACACCGCATGGCTTAGCTCGGCCACGTATTGCCCATGCCAGCCTATCGCGTACCTCGTCGAGCGTTATTTACGCTTTCCGGAAGCGATTGGAAAAAGTCTGGCCGTGGACAACCGATGACGTGGAGAAGAAGAATGAGGAGTGCAACCTCAAACTTAGCATTCGTCGAATGGGTCCGCTTTCCAGGATGGGGGCCACGCAATCCGGACTGCCAGTGGTTAGAAACGTTGGAGGCTATGGCGCGCAACAGGCATCAGTGGAGACTGCTGTTCAACCGCGTTATCTATTAGTTAACGTCTCATCGAACCTAAAACTCAAAAGCACATAAAAATCTAAAAACGCTGTGTAAAACCGAAAAGTGTCGTTTTCTCATGTCGTATTTCGTTTCCCCATTTATTTCACCATGCTTCTAGTGATACATTATCTGTAATCAGGTTGTGCGTATATATATATATATATATATATATATATATATTCGAAATGGGCTTTCAGCCCGTAGGAACATTAAGTGGATAAATAATTACATAAAATGTTTATTCTCAACTAAGCGAGGCCCGCCTGCACAGGTATGATCATGTTAAGAGTAGAAAATGTGATCAGTACAATGGGATTGTCGCATATCTTGGTATCTGAACGTATGTGGGCGTGTTTAGCTGCGTTTATGGAATTTGTAAATGTTTTTCTGCCCTTTTGATCGTGCTTGAACGTGTTGCCAGTGTTAAATGGATGCTTGATGGTTGTCGACTTGAAGCAGTCGTCCGGATAAGCAGTGGCTGACTTTAGTTGGTGGCGAGTTACAACCGCCACGTTACAGTGTTGTTAAACGGACATTTGTGGCTTTTTATAGGGAGAACGCTTGCCAGGTGAAAACCCACCACGTCCTTGAACACTGCCGCCGAACTATTTGCTGGAAGGGCATAAACCCGAACCACCCAGCTGGCACCACGCTGAAGTTGTTCGGCTAGCCAGCCAGCCTGAGGTGTATTTTACTAAACTAGATTCGTCGTAATAGCAGATCTGGTTAACTTGATGCTGTCCATTTTGAAGGATTGGCAACTGATTCGTCAACTTTGCTTCGTTGTTCATCACATGAGAGGATAAAGCGCGCGTCCTATTATCACCGTTTCGAGTTTTCGCGGATGCGGGCTGCTAGTGGTGGTCGCGTGGCAGCGAAACTTTGCTGCAGTGTAGCAACCTGCTGCTGGTGTTCTTTCCCATGTGGTGCTATCGGTTTGGAATCGAAGCGATTACCATGCTACATCGTGGGTTCGTTGAGTGCAGTGGTGTAGATATCCGACATATGCGGAGTAGTTTTGGACAACCTTCTTCCTTAATCTGGCACATCCCCTATTGTACCGTCGCCTCAACGGCTGAATCACGTTCTGTTCCGATCATACACAGCCCCAATGTGAGTTTTGCTGCATCTGTTCTCCTATATTCCGTTAGCGACAAGCGCTATTTTCTCTGAGCAAAAGGGAGCTCCACATTCCTTAAACCCTTCAGTTATTGCTATTAAACAGTCTCAACGTAATGATTGTAACACGTTCATTGCCCGCGGCACATTTTTTTGTCCAATTTATCCACTCATACACGGTTATGAGCCATGTTATACCGGGTCTACATTGATCTCATTACACTTACCCATCCACTTCTTCCTCTCGGTATCGCCGCCATCGGACTCATCTCGAATTCTCACTACTTATGTGTTTTGCATTATTTTTCTGTCTTGAAACTCCAAGTTTGCCCTGGATTTCAGCTCCTAAAGCAACTAAAATTGCGAACTCACTAGTCTAAATTCAGAGATACTAACGTTTCTTCTTATGCGACGTACTTTTCACTGAACCATCAGGGAAAATCCCATAAGCACCTGCTTTTCGGTCTACCTCTGGTTGGGCATACATGTTGGACCGTCTTTGTTTTTTTGGTGATATTTAACCACAGTCTTTTATCCATCGACAACAAGACCGTTGTGATTCCACTCCCTTATACACCAGTCACTTAGAATCCGCATCGGCATGCAATATTACAATTACTGGACTAGTCACACTTCCTGCCTGTGTTTTCAGCTGGAGCACTGTTTTGTTCAAGGCAAATTGCAATTGGTCATCCGCACCTCTATGGAAGTCATGACCGGAACAGAGCTGACTATTCCATTCGACTTGGATTACCGCGCATGCCGTTACCCCCTGGATTGCGCCTGCGCGCGTTCCCGCTGCCCTGTTTTGAAATGGCGCCGCAAGTTGGTTCGTAACAAAGTTGTTCCAAATTTGGACTACAGCAAGTATATCGAATCTCAGCTACGAGTGTACGTATCTCCTTCTACTCGTTACTATTCTCTGTGTGCTTTCACCTCGACCACAGCCTGATTACATGTTGCCGCGACCATTACTTTGCATGCTCATGCACTGCTTCTCTCCCTATGGCCTCTCAATGTGGTTTCGGCACTCCGTTTTCCTACATCCCCTTGCTCAAGCGGAGGCAACGGTTCTCTACTTTGATTATTTACACTTGTCCAATATCTTCGGTTTCGCTAGTTGCATCGGTCCGGTTTACGCGGATGCTCCATCCATCACCAGTGTGATGGTAACTAAAGTGTTGAGGCATTGACCTCCCCAGTGAAGTTCAGCTTATCAAGCCATCCATGCTCTGTTGGGTGGTGGTTCATGTTACCTTACTATATACTAATAATGCTAATGTGGAAATGGGCAATAGTTAAACCCCCAGATAGAATATTTAAGGCTTAGAAAATGGTGGCCAACGCAAGAGCTCCACTGACTCGTGATTCTGCATGTCTTACCACTTACTTGGCTGAGATCTAGGTCCGCCTCCCCAGGATGTCCACAAACCAACCCAATTCAACTATTCGGTATTCTTCAAGCTCTTCGCCGTGGCTGGCCATCTTGGTGTTTCGCCAAGCTGGATACAGTATTGGCATGAGATACATACCTCAGAGACAGACTCGAACTTTTACGGAGCACATGACTAATTTATCAGAAGCGATTCAGATTCAATGAGCGCTCTATTATGCCACCGGAGGACTTGTTACTAGACACTAAATGATGAATTTCAGCAGAACTCGTGGTTATACACGGCTAACCTTCTAATGTCCCCATCTGCAAGCTATCTTGCCCGTTCAGTGACGCTGGCGGTTTCTGTCCCAAATCAACGTATCAGCAGTACGCCGCCAGCACCGCACACAACCGCTTTGTCACCCGCATCTACACGGATTCGACCTTCGGATTACAAAACAAGCGTGTAATCCATTCGGCCACCGGTCGATGGAAGCGTAAAGCTGAAGCAACGAATTGGGCACCTTTTCTCTGCCCCCTACTAATTACCTTCGACGGGGTTTACGCGTTTTTCCAGCTACCGTACATTGGGACCTATTCTAGCGGAAAATCCTCCGCACAAGTCGATAGCGGTGGATTCGACATCGCTAGAGACTCAGCGTGTAAACACTATCATTTGGACGAGTCTGATGAACGCGGGGCGCGGTGTCTGGTTTGCTTGTTCCGTACCTATACGAGTGAGTATCGAATGTTGGCCGGTTTGATGTGCGCGGACATTTATACCCCCGATGTAGGATGGGGATATAGGTTTGAAGGATGAAGTAACCTCAGCATTGCTCCGAAAAAGGGTTCTAGTCAAGAAATAGAAACTGAAACAAGACAGTTGACGACCGCATCTTGTATGTGAGCGATACTCTCTGATTGATCATTTCGAGAGGGAAGTTTTGTTCATGGTGCCCGACTGACCTACAAAGCAACCGGGCACCTGGAAGTTTACTCGAGGACCTATAGGCATAGCCTTTGACTCAGTAATGTGAGTGATGGTGAGGAGCAAGTTCAACTCAGGAGCGTGTTTACAAGGACCCTTTAGTATTTGTCTGAGGCATCTCACACATATCCGTTAAAAATTTACATCTCATCCTAGATTTACGGCTGCATTACGTTAATCCACTTGCGGCCATAACTAGCCGCACTTATTTGATCAGGGTCTATCTGATTTGATGCCGGTGGTAGCAGACCACTGAGTACCGGTTGTTGATCTCCCACCGTCAGAGAATGTGTGACACTTACTCTACCCCAATCTAGTTGTGAGCTTATAACCCAGGATTTGTGTCTCACATGGCTACGTTTTAAATACGGATTACCATCGACGTCTATCCATCTTCTGGAGAGGATGCTGCGGCTGAGCTAGTCTGACCGACCCCTATTTTCTGATTTGTCTAATGGCTCTGAAAGCACCTGGAAGTTTCACCCGGCTTTGCCTGATGGATTGTCATGTGTGCAGTCTCTCGCACGACGTAAAGATCCATTTTTATCGTGATAGCTATCCGAAGCACAATAGTGCTGCTTATCCATGCTTTACTGGCCTACAACTGCAGGCGCTTTTTGCTGAGCTGAGAAATTCACAGACCCATGCTAGAAAGAGGAGTCTGACCCGGGATGTAGATGTTGCAATCCCAAACTCTTAACATCTATATGAATCCATTTCCTCACTGCATATTTTGTCAGAATGCCTTCTAGTCTCATGCGGACCGTAGGACTACTGTTTCGTATCTGTTCTTAACTTTTCACCTCAGCTTGACTTTTCGATTTCTGCAGATGTGAAATGTTACTTCATGTTTGCGGTATGCATTTTATTATAATCAAACCTCAACTCTGATTTGTTCTCTCGGATAAGTCGTCTATAAATCCCCCTTTAGTTTATCATGTTTGTAGAGAAGCGCATACCGAACACTTGTAACTTACTACAATATTTCAGTTATCCGGTTTACTCATTTCGTCTCCAACATTTCCACCCCAGTTATACGTGACTGTAACGACATGGTCATTCAGGAGCCGTCTCACACGTGTGTTGTACCTCACAGCAAAGGACCTGCCCCTTTCTTTTTCGTTAGATAAAACTCAACTCTGCTGATCGTTTTCCATCCATTATGTTTGGTTATCTTTTGATGTAACTTCGTCTATTCTTGTGTTTTGTTTAAGATTATCCAAGCCACTCACACAAGAAAGCCCTGGCAATCGAACTTCTTACGATCATCCCGGATTGACGAGTTCACCCATGATTCGAAGCTCCGCATACTCTACCTTACATCCTTCTCCCTCCGTCTCAAATCGTCAATTCGATGGAATGTCTGACAGTTTTGAGTCTTCTATCGACTCCGAGCAACCTTCAGAATTGTTATTTACCACTCCTTCGAAAGCAACGTCCGCCTCACCCTTTACCTCCAATCAGATCACTAATGATAGCGAGGTTCCGCTTACTTCGACCGCTGCGAGCCCTAACACCAGGCAGATGGCCTCGGATATCTCAGCCCATCCGATTGGATTGCAACCCTGTGCAATTGAGGAAAAACTGGTGAGCTGATGAAGCACTATTTCATGTTTTTGTTCACGACAAACTAACTTCACAGACAGCCTGATCGTTGTATGTTTCTCACTTTTTTAGACGTTCCAACCGATCATCACAACCCGACGCCAAGCGGCTGCCATGCGGCCCACTTTGCATTGAATTCCACTGTCACACAACGAAATGTTTCACCCAGGCACACTTCCCACTGATTTTGAGTGCTGTGTCCACTAATGCTCGACCCAATATCATTTCTAGTGCTTTCTCTTCCTATGCTTTTCTACTCAGCGAGGATATTTTTGTCTACTTTTGTATAGTTACTTGAATCTTTTGTACAGTTTCCCGATCACCGATTCGTGTACTGCACTTGTCCCTTAGAATCTTCAGTTGTCCACTCTCCCCTCTTATCCATCCTCAACACGATCATTCGTACCTTTTCCCTCCTAAACAGTCGACCTATTAGATTTTTTGCCTTCCATGCCCACCTATTTGTATTTCACATGCTTACTTTCACAATTATGATAACCTACTTTACCCAGCCATTATTCATTGTGTCTTCCGAATTGCTGCCACTCTCGTTGCTTATGGGCACTCATTGGATAGGTAGGAGGCAGCGCTGTTATTTGATTCATTGACCCAAAATTCAAGTCTAACAGTTGATTTTAAACACGAAACCCTCTGATGCTTCATTAGAATGTTCGTTAAAGCTTAACCGGTTATGTTAATTTGGTCGCTTCTTCCGTATGGCTGTTGACTGCTTTCTTAAGCCTGAATCCTGTGTATCCACTGCATCATTTTGGCGAAATTGCCAGCTAATGACGTGGCATAAGGACATGAATAAGTGGAGTGGGAGGTTTGGTTAGACTATGTCGTTCGGTCTTCATAGATGAAGGCCTCGAGATGGCCGAAATCAGCGGTTCGCAACCCCAGCTGATATGTCGCATTCGCACAGTCCACGAATCTTCTGCAAAAAAGGGCTTAAACTCCGCGTAAGAAGACATTCATCAGTTACAGTCCTCGTGATCGAGAGGTGTGGTTGGTAGTTGTAGAACGAGCAAGGTCAGTTTCACGCTTGCCCTCACAATCGCCGGACAATCAGACGCCCACATTATCGCGGTCCAGTTGTGTGTCTGTCTCCGTGCGTTCGATCAAGCGTTCTAGCGAGTGAGTTTTTAAAAGCACAGCTAAGTGTACTGGGTATCGGAATTGAGTGCTGGTCGCATATTTATTCTTTCTTTTAACGCGGCTAGGGAAACCTAGCACGTAACTTGGTGACAGCGGAACAGACGTGCCAAAACTCGCTCGTCATTGAGGAGCAACCACTGATCTCATTGTCCACTTTGTTAGAGGAAGCACATTGACGGACAACTGAAAAGCGTATTGGATGGGATTTGCGGTGTTGATCCGGTTGGATGAATATCCAATACCATACCAGTTGGCAATGTTCAGATACTCCATTGACTCTGAAGCAATTCGGATACTGGTCTAATGTCTCTGGGACCATTGTTGTGGCCTCCTATGTATCGCGTACGTGCCGACCTCAAAGCCAAACCTTCCACTTGAAACAAAAGTTGAAAGATGTCAACAAAAATCCCTTGCGTGAAGACACAACGAGGTCCATGGGAGACGATTTCAGTGGTTTGTAAAGTCCTCTTACACGATGACCTTGAACTTGTAAATGTATCAAACTGTCCTTGATTGAAGCAACACGACGATCATGAGACAAGCGAATCCTCTTCGAGCCGGAATGCTGAACGCTGTATCCGATCGGTTTCGTTAGGATCTGCGTCCCCTAACAACCATGAACCGGATTTTTTGGAAATAATCGAGCGCTTTGAAGAATTGTGTGAAGGTCGATCGTATTCTTTTATTCCTTGTCGCAGATTGATCAAGAATCATTCAGTCGAGCTGAAAAGTCGCAAGAGCCATTAATAAATAACTTGAAATATCAAGCAAGTCTGCATTGCATTTCTGCAATTCCCCAGATTAAAGGACTACCAGTGCCGACAAAACTTGATTCAATAGCCACCGTGAGTACATTGCTCGAGAAACAATGCATCGGTGTGCAGTATAGTATAATATAGACTTGTCACAAAAGGCGAACGACTTCATGGTACACTCGAAAGGAGAAGCTGTGGTGTACGCCCTCAAGAAAGCTAAAAATAGACTCGTCGAGTTTAAGAGAGGCATGAGGATCCTTCTCTAATACCACTGGGAAGGAATACGCGTTCTTTTGAATTCGATGGCAGTCCAGTGCAGCTCCAATTCTGTTACATAGTAGACTGCAAGCTCGCCCCCAGTGGACGAGGATTTGGAAACTGCAACACACGAACTACGAAAAGAGGGAGGATTTGGTGGTATTTGTAGAGCTAGGTCAGTTTCACACCCGCGCTCGCAATCGCCACACAAATAGACAGCCCACGCTATCGCGACCAACTCGTATGTCTGTCACTGTACGTTCAACTTGGCGAGCTAGCGAGTGAGTTTCTAATAACAGCTGTGTACAGAATCTCAAAATTGAGAATAGAGTGCTGTTCCGGTGTGTCTCCTTTTGACACGGTTGCGGAACCCAAGCACAATTTCACTGTGTATGAGCCCGAGTTGCAGGCAGAAATGTATATTTTGTCAAACATAGCTAATATTAAGTGCATCCGTTCCGACAAACGGGACATCCACCCATCTTTGTCATCCCGTTTGGAGATTGCATGGTGCGGGTTTCTCTCTGTGTCTAGTAGTTGTGTTGTCTACATTGCTCATGCGCACAAAACTGCGGCTCCAAAGTGTTCCTTTCCTTTGTATAGACATTACGGCCTTCTGTTGGTTGGTTGCTGTTTCCCATCCTTGCCCCACTCTACTGATAACTGATGCAGTGGTGTCTGCATTTAGTCTGCCACACCTTTACTGTTAATCGCGGTCAACATTGAGATTGTGTGTCACAATCCATCCACACGACATGTACTTCAAAATGACCCTCAATACTAATCACGTTACTTTCTAATGAGGGACAAAATAATAAACGATTCCTGTCATTGCTTACGCCATACTGCTATTGTGCAGCTAGGCTTGTGTCGTCCCACCAAACAAAAATTTTACACATCAATCGAATTTAGACAGACCTCACTGTCAAATCACCGCCTCTTGTGTTTATTAGTTTAGCTACGCTTGCCATAACATGTACGTCGGTCAACCAAAGAGGAGGTTATGTACCCTGATTTCGGAACTCATTTCGCAGAACCTTGTCGCCCGCTGCTTACTCGATTCTTCTATGTACCTCAACACTCGCGTGTCATACATGCTTATCAGTAAACAGACCAATCGCAACTTGCTTCTTTTTACTGAACCTCTTGTTATACGACATTTGAAGGTTTACCTATTTAATCAGATAGATTTTTTAGCCAGTCTTGCTTTGCCTTGGTTGTGAGCGGTCGCTTAACAAGCACAACAATTGAGAATTATTGCGAACACCTGTAGCTCGGAGTGTGGATGACAGGATTGTCCTGTTCTCCGAACTTGGCATTTCAGTTTCAGGCGTTGCCAGGCTAAGCAACATCCTCGGTGCGGCTATCATGTCCTGAATCGCGGACTCTCCCAGTCGCTGCCAATAGTCACTTGTATCTGGCAGTGGCTGCGAGACAGGGCAAGTTGGTAGACGATCGCAACCAGTGGCATTCCATCTGCGAGTCGATTGGCGTTTGGGTTGAGCCAACTGGACTACAACGATTAGCGCGTCACCCAAATTCAGTGCACTACGGCGAACCCCGATTAATTGGAGTAACTGAATTCAACTGAAGAGAGAGATAGTTCTACTCTCAGCAGTTCGTCTTCGCAACTCATCTAGCGGGGTACGCATACTATCCGATATTCCTTGGAAAGGACGGTCAAAGGAAAAGGAAAACCATGGCGGCCTGTCTACGGATGAAACCAAAAAGCCGTATTTGTTCATGGTGTTTCGGAACTACTGGGCTCTCCTAAGCACGAAGCGCAAAAACATGAATGAAAGCAATGGTGCTACATCCGCGAAGCACTCTCTCTGGACCACGTTATAGCTAAATCATTAAAGAGAATTCCTACATCTCCAAACTACAAGGGCTGCGATTCAAAAATATTGAAAGTCGTGCTACACCCCGATGGAATGACAGAAGTCTTATTGGATAAGCTGCTTGAATCATCGCTCCAGGTTGCCTACCGAGATTAGGATAACTATAGCAGGTGCACGGCCACTAGTCATCAACACTTCATTGGAACATGCGACCTCCGTAAAATATTTGCCTCCAGAATCATGCAGCATTGCAGACAACATGGCATTAGGGACACCTGACGGGACAGGGAGACACACTAGGGAACATCTCGATCTGGGATACTCCATGCTACCATGCAGCCTGATTGAAGTTCAAGAACCAAAGACGCACGCAAAAAACGATAAGCGATCGACTGACGAACAGTCGGCTTAAAATTAAACACGAATTTCTTGTCCACCAGCATACTTCTGACGTCAAAAACACTATCAGGTTTGTATACTAACGCCCAAGTTCTTCTTAGTAATTTGACCGAACTTAGAGAACGACAGGCGTCACAACCGCGGGATCTCAGTATGATTACGGAGACCTGGTTAAGTCTTGGGGTTGCAGATTCTGAAGTCAATTTACCCGCTATGTCACTGCTTCGGGATGACAAACTTGGAAGATGTGGTGGCGTAATACTGTATTAGAAGGCTAACCACGCATGTAAAGTTATTGACCACCCAGCGATCCGTACCCCAGATTCGCTTTGGTGCCGGCTATGGTAATGAAACAAAGATACAAGTCATATAGCTGTGATTTCCCGTCCACCAAACTCTTCGTGTGAAATGGACTCCAAACTAAACCACGTTCTTCAGGTTGCTTTGAGCAAGACATACAGTCACATTCTCATCTCAGCCGACTTTAATGCGCACGATCTGGAAATAGCGGCCACCGATGGCATGCAGTTTAAAGCCTGTTTACAAGAGGTCAATTTCAGCTGCCCTCTGTACAACCACGTGACCACTGCCACCAGATTTGGAACTGCCAACAAGCAGTCGATACTTGATTTTGTGCTTAACAACGAAGAACTCATGGTAGACAGAATAATTACAAGCACACCACTAGGTCGCAGTGACCATGTGACTCTAATGTTTAACTATGTATGTTATGCGGAATATCCTGAGGAAGAGTACTACAAAGTATATAAGGTAAAGCACTACAACGTGCCATCCGCGCTTGTTATGGTGGTATCTTGGACCTTCTTAAAGGAAATCCCCCAGAAACCGCCTGGGACACTTTTACAAGAACATTCACCACGAGTCTGAGCGAAAATTCTTCCATCGTCAAAGGAGAAGGAAATCATTTCTGAGGAGCAGAACACGCCAATGCATGTCTTTGCGACTTAGCATGGAGAGCTCAAAAGGACTCCCCGAATTCCGAAACCTTGACTGCCTATGTGGCACAGCGTAACTTCTGTGTCAGTTTGATCCGCCAGGACAAGCTGACGCATCAACAGGAGTTAATGAAGAGAATCTG